CCACCACCATCCATCCATCCATCCACCCATCAGTCCCTCTGTCCATCTGCCCATCCATCTGTCCACTCACCCACCCAGCATCCATCCATCCATCCATCCATCCATCCATCCATCCATCCATCCATCTATCCATCCACATTCATTTTGAACATCTACTATGTATGGGTTATGATCTTAGCCACTGGAGACACAACTGTGGGCAGGGAAGGCATCTGGGTTCGCTCTTCTAGAATGATACTCCTCATTGTCATTATTCGAAGGATCATGGTAGTATTCAGTCTAGTCACCTCCCATGAGCATTTCCCACAGACCGGTCCTTGCTGTGCCTTTAGCTCACTGAAAGCGTACATAATTCTGAGCTATGTACCCAATTTATACACCACAGACTGAAGCCACCCACCTTACAGGGCTTCTCTCAAGGCACCCCTAAGCTACTGTACACAAGACACCATTCATGTGGCCAGAGGCTGCACCCAGGTCCTGGGAGCTGTGGACCAGGGCCCTTCACCAGTGGCAGCTACCACTGTCCTCCTCCTCCCCACTCCCTGTCTCCCTCTAGAGGTGGCCTGGGAGGGGCTCACCCAGGTGGATGTTCCTGGTGCTCTGGCATCTCTTGCCAGGTGTCTCCACGAGAGACCTCTGTCCTGCTCAAAAAGGGACTGAAGTCGGGCTCTCTTCGCCTGGTCAGCTCTGAAGGCTGCCAAGATGCCCAAGGTGGGGCAGGGGGCTTTGAGCACCTGAGTAGGGGGATTCCTCCTTCTCCATCTCCTGGACTTCACTCACCAACCAAGCCTTCTGAACCACTCTCCCCTGGCTCTTTAGAGCTTTTCAGAGAAGAGACAACAGCCTCGATGTTCTCTCCCCTGTCCTTTCTGGAGTCCTGGTGGTGTCCTGGGCTGTGCCCTGAGCTATTAACCACAACGTCCGTGGTTTGAACCCAGGGGCAGCTCCACAGGAGAAAGATGAGGCTGTCTCTTCCTGTGAAGTCTTTGAAGTCTCAGAAGCCCAAAGGGACCGCTCTCCTCTGTCCTAAAAGGTCACTAGGAACAGAATGGAGTTGCTAGCAGGGAGGCTTTCTGGTTCTTTCTGACGAACCCGAGTTTGGAGCAGCAGTTCTGGGCTTTGCTTTTCATCAAGGCACTTGACTAAAGCGGGGTGTGGGGGTGTGGGGGGGTGGTTTGGCCCTTTGCTCTCTCCCTGGTCCTCTGGGCCTGGGACACTGGAAGCTTGGCATGGAGCAGGAGGCTCTGAGCTTGGGGGTGGGGGTGGGGGGTGTCTCTGAGCCACTTCGGCTCATGGAAATGAAGGGTCTGAGCGGGCTACACTGAGGCTGCCAGGGTGTGTGGGTGAGTGGCAGCTGCCTTGCACACAGCTGAGGACGTGGCTAAGTGGTCTGACACCCTTCTCCCCGGGGGACGTGGCAGGAAGCCCATAGCATGATGTCACCGCCTCCCTCCCCACTCCGAGGAGGTCTGCCGCAGTGTCTCACACTTGGGGCATCTGCCGGGGAGCGGGGAGAGGACAAACATAAGAGGTTGACTGCAAGCCCAGGGTCACCCAGTGGGACCCTCACCGGCTGCAGTTGACCCCACTGTGGACTTTCTCAGACCTTTCCATCGAAGGACTTCCAACAGCCAAAGAAAGCCAGCAGGTCATCCCAAGACCCAGAGTTGAGCAAGGCAGTGTGTCTGACAGGAGCCCCATGGGGCTAATCATAGCTGTGAGATTTCACCCAAGTCTCTGGTCTTATCTTCAAAGTGTGTGTGAAATTTGCATTCACAGCCATGTGTATTTTTCAACCAAAGGGCAGCCCCCCCCAACATCTCCTGGTAAAGGGGACCCTCTGGGCAAAGAAGCAGTTGCAGCCCCCCCACCCCCCACCCCGCCCCATGACCCAGGGCAGCCGGTTCCCAGCCCAGGGAACATTTTATCAGCGTTCAGATGGTCCAACTTCTCTGTCAGACACAGTTAAGCCAATGGCGACCCAGTGTCAGGAAGGGGCTTGTCCCTAGCCAGTCTCATGTTAAACAGTCTCAGGGGCCCTAAAACCATGCCCTCTGTGATCGCTGGCGCCTTCCTCCCATCATGCCTTTCCCCACTCCCTTTAATAGTTCGATGGAGATCTCATTCACGCCCCACTATCCAACCGTTGCATCCGATGAAGAAGGGCTGTGTGTCCAGCATCGCCACCCACTTTGGGACATTTCCCTCCTCCTCGTGCCCACTGCTGGGGGCTCGCATGGCACCTTCTGCCAGCTCTGTTCATGCAGCTTTTCTTACTAGCTCCCGCCCCCACCGGGCCAGCTCCCTGCTGTGATCACACCTCTATCACAGAGGGAGAAACCGAGGCTCAGCACGGTGGCGCCATCTGTTTGTGTTGGCCAGCAGGCAGGGGAGTCAGACTTGACGCTTGGTCTTCTGGTTCTGGGGAGGGTGGGAGGGAGGAACCTTGAACCCTGACCCCTGTCTGCAGGTGCCCCGCTGGTCAGCATGGCCCCCCAGATCCACGGCTACCTGCAGCAGCCCCTGCTGGTTTCCTGCTCCGTGCACAGCGCCCTCCCCTTCAGACTGCAGCTGTGGCGAGATGGAGCCAAGCTGGGCGAGGAGAGGCACTTCCAGTGAGTGGCCGATAGCCAGGGCCACCACCACGGAACCTGGAGGGATTCTCAGGGGGAGTGGGTGACAGGAAAGCAACCTTCGTCTCAGTCCTAGTGTCCTCCTACCAGCGGCATACTTGACCATACACTGGGCTACTAACCCCAAGATCAGCAGTTTGATTCCACCAGCTGCACCAAGGGAGGAAGACGAGGCTGTCTACTCCTGCACAGATTCATAGTCTCAGAAAGGTGCAGGGGTAGGATGGGGTCATCATGACCCAGAATGCACTGCATGACAGGGATGGAGCAAGCCCTAAGTCTTATCCGTCTGCTCAGCCATCTCCCCGTGGAGGAGCTGTGGGGCTCCCTCAGCCTCTAGCAAACACAGCCACTGTGGACAGGGCTCTGTGGGGTCAGGGGAGCCAGGACCCTCCAAGACCCCCCCCCCTTCAGGTGGAAGTCCACAGCTCAGAGAGGGGAAGGGGCTTGTCCCTAGTCACACAGCAGATCCCAGAACTGACCAGGTCTTGCTTGTCATCTCTTCATTTCAAGCCTCACAGGGGTTGGGGGTCTTCCCTCTGGGCAGGATACAAAGGACGGTTCTCCGAGGGGTGCGTGAGACAGGGGGGCAGTGGAGTGGCGGGTGGACCCTGACTGGGTCAGTGTGACTGAGTGAATCTTGCTGTCCCGCATTCACAGGGAGTCAGGAAACAGCAGCTGGGAGATCCCCCGGGCCTCCAAGGCCGAGGAGGGGGCCTATGAGTGCACTGCGGTCAGCCGGGCTGGGACTGGACGAGCACAGGCCCAAATTGTCGTCACAGGTCTGTTCCTCGGTCCCCTCCAAGCGCCCCTCCCATTCTGGGCTAGATTCTTCCTTCTAGGACTTCCTCCTGGGGTGTCCCCACCCATGGGGGCACATGCCATCTGCTGGGGATCTGTCCATCACCTAGAGTCCCTGTCCCTGCTTCCACTTGCCTGCAGGCCCCTGAGAATGGTTTGAGAACCTTGGCCCTGGCCCTGGTCCTGCCTGCCCCACCAGCCTTAGTTCACTCCTGGCCTTGGGGGCGTGGATGACCCCCGGGGGTCTCAGGGACCACACTGTTCCACGTCCCTTGCCAACCACCTTCAGTTCCCCAACCCAGGATGACAATGCTGAGCTCTGGAAAGGCAAGGCGCTCCCTGAGCAGCTCAAAATGAAGCCAGTGTTTTAGGATGAGCCCCCCCCATCCCCGCTGTCTCTGGGAGGAGAGGAGCCTCTAAACCCAGGCACGTGAGCCGCCTCACATCCTCCCTTCTTAAACAAGAACTCGGGCGCACGGAAAATAGGAACGATCAAAGAGAAGCTCCTCTCTCCCTCTCCAGGGAGCCTAACTTGGATCGCCCTCCCATGGACTTCCTCCCTGGCCCCCCCCGCCCCCCCCTGCATTTTAACCAGCCCGGGAAACTGACTTGGACGTGCAACCCGCTGGCCCTCAACAATGCAGCACGCTAAGAAATCTGTTCCCATGGCACGAAGGAGCGCAGTTTTACATTCCTGCAGACTGTGGGCGCAGAGAAAAACAGGGCGCACTGTAGAAGGAAACACGTGAGCCCATTGCACCAATCTGGGGGCTGTTGATATAACACGGGAAATGACACGCATGGGGAATGTTGGCCATTGAATGCGGAAGACCAAAGAAGGATCAATGGGTTTGAATCAGGCTGCTGGCAAACCACGTGGCAAGAACCACGGATTGCCCAAAGGACAAACGAATCGTCTCGGAAGAAGTACATCCTTCCAGGCAAGGGGGGGACACTTTGTCTTATGACCTTTGGACATGTTATCAGGAGAGACCAGTCCCTGGAGAAGGGCGTCTTGCTTGGAAAAGTATCAGGGCAGAGAGAAAGAGGAAGACTGTTGATGAGATGGGTTGGCACCGTGGCTGCATTGATGCGCTGAACCAAGAAGCATCGTGAGGCTGGCGCAGGGCCAGGCGGGGTTTCGTTCTGATGTGCACCGGGCCACCATGAGTCGAACCAACTTGATGGCATCTGACAATGACAATAACATCTTGCCGAGACCACTGGTGGCCCAGTGGAACTCTCACCATCCACGTGGGAGACCCGGGCTGGGCTCCTAGCCACGGAGCCTCGTGTTCAGCCACCACCTGCCCCCCAGGGGAGGCTTGGGTGTTGGCCTGATGGGAAGAGGCTTCAGCAGGGCTTCTAGGTGGTGAATGTAGACTACTTCTGAGAAGCTGTTTGGGCCCCCTTTTCTCTGTGGCTCTGAGGTCTGTGTCGTGGGTGGGACAGTCTCTGAACTTGTCGCTCCTCATGGCCTTCCCCCAGCTGACCAGTGAGGGTTTGCTCAGCCATCGCCATGCCCTGCCCCTTGGTGGTTCTCAGTAGCCTGGCTGTCTGCCCAGACGGTTCCGAACACCTTGTGCTTTTTGCCCTTGCGTGCTATTTCTGAGCTTTTATTTCCCCCGTGGAAGGGGGGAGGTGTATTAACACAGTTAAAAGTTAAACAGTGCTGTCTGCTATGCCGGAGGGGGATGGCAGGGGTGGAGGAACACCGCCCCCGCCCCCCCCACAGGTGGAGAGCAGATACTGGCTACCTCCTCTGCTGGCTCACATGTCCTCCGGGACGTGGAGTCTGGGGTAGGCAGATGGGGCCTTGGGGTCTGGGCTGGAGCAGCCTTCTGGAGAGGGGACCCAGGCCCCCTCATCAGTGTCTCCTGTGCTCACGCCCTTGCAGATCCCCCACCGCAGCTGGTTCCTGCCCCCAAGGTGACCGTGTCCCCAGGGGAGACTGCCATCCTGTCCTGCCAGGTCCTCAGTAGGGCTCCCTACAACCTGACTTGGATTCGGGACTGGCGGGTCCTGCCAGCCTCAGAGGGCCGAATCACCCAGCTGGCTGACCTGTCCCTGGAGGTCAGTGACGTGATCCCCGCGGATGGCGGGCAGTACCAGTGCATGGCCAGCAACGTCAATGGGGTCGCGAGAGCATCCGTCTGGCTCCTGGTTCGAGGTGAGACTCCTTTGACACTGTCGCTGTCCCATTCAACCCACTCCCTAGCCTTCACCTCCAGTGCCATCGGTCCATCCCCCTGGCAGGCGATGCCAGCCCTTCCTGTGTTTGCTGACTCATCTGGGAGAGAGGACCCTGTAGCCACCCAGGCCAAAGTCTTGTGGTCCTCACTGTGGGGAAGTGCATCCAAATATCTAACCAGAGTTTCTACTGCTACGGAGCCCAAACCAAGCCCTTAACTGCTGAGTTGATTCTGACTCACAGCGACCTACTGTGATTGGCCAGGTCGATCTCATCTTGCGTGGCCCCCTTTCTCCCGACACAGAGCATCTCAAGACTGAAAAACCACTCACTGCCATCGGTCAGTGTGGGATCCCGAGACTCTGGTGGTGGGAGTTGAAAGCCCAGTCTTTCCTCCTCGGAGCGGCTGGTGGTTTCAAACTGCGGATCCCACGGATCGCAGCCCAGCAAGTAACCACTATGCCACCAGGGCTCCTTGAGGACCTGGACGGCCCCTCCCTGTGTCCCCTCTTCTCAAGGTGTGGGCAGGTATCAGGGCATCAGACATGCCCGGAGGTCAGATGTGCTAGGCAGGAATTGGACCTCAGCAGCCGGATGGGTGGGGGTGTGTGTGGGTGGACCATGGAAAGAACACCGTCAGGGAGTCGGTACATGCAGACCACGGCCTCAGGTCTGCCACGAGTTAGACAGACGCCCATCTTAGGGTGCTGTCTCCCCAAGTGTGAAGAAGATAAGGGTGCTGGGGCCAGAGTTCTCTCCCGTGGCTGCCTGGGGCTTGGTGAGCAGGGTGGGAGGCCTACCTGTGTCCCCAAGGGTGTGGGAGGGGCGGACTTGCCACTTCTATGAGAGGTGAGCTTCTGGAGCCAGGGGAGGATGTCAGTTTGGGGACAATTCTGCAGCAGGTTTGGGGGTTCACCAAAAGACCCCTGTGGACCAGAGTCACCCCCACCTGGCAACTCCTTACATCTCTCTCAGCAGGATTCCAGGGAGATTGGGGCTTTCAGGCACTGAGGTGGGGGGTGGGTTTTAGGAAATTTGCTCCCCACGTGACTTGGGGCTGTCCTCCGGGCAGCTGCCTAGTCCCCCCCACTCCCAGGGAAGCCATTCCTGGGCCTTCTCAACCTGGGGACCTTTGCTTCTTCTGATCGGAAAGGGTGGGGGGATTCTGGCCCCTGGGATGCCTGGCTATTCTGATGGGCTCTTTCTTCTGCCTGCCCCCCCCACACTTCGGACCCCAGAGGCCCCCCAGGTCAGCATCCACACCAGGTCGCAGGGCTTCTCCCAGGGTGGAGAGGTGAGAGTCAGCTGCTCAGCCTCCGGGAACCCCGCACCCCACATCTCTTGGAGCCGAGAGGGCCGTGTTCTGCGAGAAGACAGCAGGTGAGGGGCCTGGGGTACAGGGCCTGGGAGCAGGTGGACAAGGATCCCAGGGCCCCTGAAGCCCTTGGTGTTCTCACAGGGGTGTCACATCCACCCCACCTTCCTGAGGGCCTGCTTGAGTCTCAGGAACATCCGGGCCTCCGTGGGGACTCCTCAGTCCCCAGCACAGGGTCCTGCGTCTGACGGACTTAGCTCAGATCCTGCCTCGACTGCACGGGCTGGTGAGCTTGGCTGAATCCTTTCGCCTCTCTGGGTCCTGAAATAAGACAGTGCCCACCAAGTGTCCAGAGCCCACCATTTGGCCCAGAGCCGGGTGGCCGTCAGTGGAGGATGAGGTCACTAGGGATGCTGGCTTAATCTAGCATGAGTGGTGACTTTCAGGCAGCCCGGTGGGTGACCTGACCTGTTACAGCACGCCGTGTTTTTATGCCACAACTCCAGAGTCCTTGTGGACGCCCAAGGGACGCTGATCATTCAGGGAGCAGCCCCAGAAGATGCTGGGAATTACAGCTGCCAGGCTGCCAACAAGGTCGGCACTGACAAGAAGACTGTCACTCTGTACTACACAGGTAACCTCGGGCTCTGGGCATCGCAGCAGAGGGACCCCCTTCCTCCCCACTTCCCTCGCTCGGCCTCGGTCCCTCCTGCCCTCTCATCCTCCCACACGCAGGCCTTTATTGAGCATCTACTATGTGCCAGATACAGAGGTACAGACAGCACTGAACCCACAGGCTCTGTCCCGATGGGGTTTATGGTTAGTGGGCGAGGCAGAAAACCAGCTTGCCGACAGAGAGCTCAGTCAGTCCCCTTCTGAGGGTGAAGGGTCCCCCGAGGGAAAAGGGGGGTGATGCAAGGCTGGGATGACAGGGAAGTGGCCCTGAGGAGGGGAGAGTACCCAGAGCTGGCGGGAGCAGCATTCCAGGCAGAGGGATAGACAGAGCACCCATTCTGAGGGACAGGGGCCTGGTGTGCTCTGGGGGCTTTGAGGGGGCCGGGGTGGGTGACAGGGGGACAGAGCAGTGAGGGGGGCAGCATTTGGGGACCTTGAGCAGCATTTGGGACTTACAGCAGCCCCATCGGACAAGGCAAGCCTGCCCCTGGGAGTTTCTGCAACCTTCACTATTCACGGAGTAGAAAGCCTCTTCTTTCTCCGGCAGGGAGAGCCTGGTGGTTTTGAACTGCGGACCTTGCATCAGTAGCCCAATGTATAACCACTACACAGCCACGGCTCCTTTTGGGGACTTTATAGGATTGTTTTGTATTCCAGGTTCAATGGACATGTTTTGGGGGGTGGGGGAAGTGGAGGAATGGGTCAGGAGAGGGATTCGTTTTACGTTTCCTGGGCAGGAAACTTTGATTAAAAACTGCCCATGGAGTGACTGCACCCGATGGGTGGAGGTGGGGAAGAGACAGGAGGGCCAGCTTGGTGTCCTCAGGCCTGGCCCCACATCCCCCCTCACCCCCATTCCCCCACCCTCAGACCCACCTTCAGTCTCTGCTGTCAATGCTGTGGTTCTGGCTGCCGTCGGGGACGAGGCTGTGCTGGTGTGTGACGTGTCTGGGGTGCCCCCACCCCGGGTCATCTGGTACCGAGGTAGGCAGCCTGGGAGGGGTCCTTGGGCTCTGGAACGTCAGCTGCAGCAAGAGCCACTGGAAGGCATAAGGGCAGGGGGTTTCGGGAGGGCTGGCCAGTCCTCAGCAGCTTCCCACCCTCACCCCCAGCCCAGACTTGTGGACTCAGCCGAGCAAGGCCTGGCCTCCTGGACTCCCAGGAGCCTGAGCCCCTGGCCTCCCTCAGCGACCTCTCACCTGTCCCCATGCTTCCTTGTCATTGGCTCAGGGGGTCTTGAAATGATCCTGGCCCCGGAGGGCTTTGGCTCTGGGACACTGCGCATCCGGGAGGTTCAGGAACGGGATGGAGGCATCTACACCTGCCGCGCGGTCAACCAGCTGGGCGACGCCTCTGCGCAAATCCGGCTGGAGGTTGGAGGTGAGTGTGCCTCCCGTCCCCATGCGTCCCCATCCTCCTTGAGACGAGGAGAGAGAGGACCCCACTACGCGTACGGAGACTGCCAAGGTGCAAGTGACACCCGGGAGTCTCCAGCCTGGGTGCAAAGGTCATGATGGGAAAGGCGGCTGTGTCCGAGTGACCTCCTGCCGCGTAACAAGCTTGCCTTCCCACCTCCCACCCCCTCCATGACACGTACTTGGTGTCCCACAGTTTCTGAGGGTCAGGGCAGGGCTGAGCTGGGTGGCGCTGGCGCAGGGCCTCTCCCGTGAGCACAGCGATGTGCTGACGGGTCCTGCAGCCATCTGAAAGCTTCCCTTGGGCCGGAGGCTCCATGCCAAGCTCACACATGCGACTGCTGG